ATGGTCGCAGCAAAAATTTATTATTGAACTGTCTATTCGCTTGTTCAGCTAAAAATGTAACTTGCTATTTCGCTCGGAAATATTAATTCGTTCGTAGCAAAAATTAACTGTTAAATTGTCTAATCGGTATTTACAATCAAATGTAATTGAATGCTGCGGCAAAGCAAAATATCATATGTGGTTGCAGAGAATGCGAGGAGACAGGTTCGGGACAATACTAATTCCAGTGCTGAAACCGGGACTCTATAAGAGGTTTACTCAAACTAGTGGTTGGAAATTAAAACCAACTAACAACCGGGATAGTTCATTATCTCTGAATGAAGCGATCGTAATCACGAGCCGCTTCAGACAGGGGAATGATACTATTTTATTTCGGTTGAAATAATGGAGAATTACGCAAATGAATGTTTTAGATGTAAAATAAACTAATAACCGGGATAACACCTTATTTCTGGACGAAATGATCGTAATCACGAGCCGCTTCAGATAGTGAATGATGCTATTTAAATTCTCTTAAAATTTGCGGTTCGGAGGATAAAACAAAAGAAAATGTCTTGTCGCAATTCTACCAATATAACCAATCAAAACATTAGACAATTCCCAAACAGTTCCTACCAATTATTTATTGGATAAAGTTTTTAATAAACTAAATTATTTGTTTACGGTAATTTCCAGTAGTAGGAAAAATAAACTATACGACTATATTTACGATCGAATGAAAAATAAATTATTTAACGGTTAAAACTTTAAATAAACTAAAATGAAATTTATTATTTATTCACGGAAATTTCCAGTAGTAGGAAAAATTAACTGTAAGACCATATTCACGATCGAATGAAAAATAAACTATTTAACGGTTAAAACTTTAAATAAACTAAAATTAAATTTATAAAGAACGGTGTATTCTAACAAAAATAAATTAAAGTATTTCTTTATCAAAACAAATTTCAATTCTTAACTAAACACGGAATATTGTTAATTAAAAATAAATCAAATTAAATCGGTTTCAAATAGCACGGCTTAAAGTCTCGGGCGAGAAAAAAATTATCAAAACAATGACAACAATTTACCTATCGGCAAAATCGCGGCTAGGAATGAATTTCGGTTTAGAGTATATCGGAATCGTATCGTATTAATTATTCGACTATTCGATTTCACGGTGTAAAAGCAAGTCAACTGTTCAATAAATCGGTATATTAGAAACTAAAAATTTTAATTCAATCTCGGAGCAAGTTCAGTCGTCGCGAGCCCTTCTACTACCAGAAAATCCCACCATTACCGCGTGCGCACGTAGAGTATCTCGATGCTTCCGAACAGTGGCAATACGGATGATATACAGGGCATATCCACGAAGTTGAAATTAAGTAAAAATCGAAATTAATACCCGGAATTAGTTAAAAAATAATAATACTGAAAATTGACTTTATTACATGTCTTGTAATTAGGATTGAATCGTTTTTACAATATAAATAGGAAATTTATTTATAAACATTTTGTAGATAAGCCGACAGGTCCAGACGGTATCAAACGCCTTTTCCGTGTCTAAGGCGACCAAGACTGTTAGCTTTTTGTTATTAAAGGCCTCTTTCGCTTGATGAGCTATTCTTATGACTTGGGCTATAGTAATATGCCCTTCGCGGAAACCGTGCTGTTCCTGTGGGATTATTTGTTTGTCCTGTTCAATTACGTGTAGTTTGTTTAGTATTATGGTGTCAATTGTTTTAGTAAGTGTGTTAAGAAGTGATATGGGGCGGTAGCTCTCTATATTCTTTTTGCTTTTCCCGGTTTTAGGTATCGGAATGATGTTCGCGATTTTAAGTTTGGTGGGGTAATATTGGATTCTCAGAATCGCATTAATAATGTAGTGTATTTGCACTACGGTTTTTCTTGTGATGTTTTTTAACATTTGGCCCGTGATTTGATCTGGTCCCAGCTATTTTCTTTTGTTTAGCCGATCAATTGCTGATTTAACCTCGCTAGGTTTGACCAGCTGATTGGTCGGTACATTTTGACGTGAGAGGAGCCTAATGACATTGACCACACCCTCTATAATTTGTTGTTCAGCGTTATTATCGATGTTATTCGTAATATTTTGTTCGAAATATGTACCGAACGCTTCCCCTTTTTGCGTTTCTGTAGTGTATTGTGTGTTATTGTCCTCCAGTGTGGGAAGCTGCGTAAACGGTTTCTTATACCGCTTTGTCATCTTCCACACTGAATTGTCTAGTGTTTTGAGGTCTCGTAGAATGTCTGTCCACTTTTTGTTTTTTAAATCTCGTATGGCTGTGTTGATGGCTTTTGAAATGTCTAGTAGTCTGATTCTGTCTGTGTTTTTGCCATCTTTCCCGTATGTTGTTTTTTTAGTAATCATGTCTTCTATTTCGGGTGTTTTTGGTGAGATTTAATGTGTTTTAAGTGTGTGGAGGCGTCTCTAGCCTTTATTAGAGCATTCGTTAGTTTGTCTACTTCTTCGTCCAGTTCAGTCGGTGTGTTAATGTTGTTGTTTATTACGATGTCTTTGTCCAGTACTTCCCTGTATTTTGTCCAGTTTGTTGTTTTGTAGTCGTAATATTGTTCATTTTGTCTTTGTATGTTCCTTCTTGTCTTAATTTCAAGGCTGATCAGGTCGTGGTCTGAATTGAGTGTAGGTATTGTCCTTGGATTGTGTATGTTGTCTATGTTTTTTATTATTGCAATGTCTAATGTACTGGGTGTTTGTCCGCTGAAGGGGAAAAACGTTGTTACATCCGTGTTATGTATTATGCATTGATTACTTACTGCGAATGCGCTTAAAGTGTTGCCGTTTTTGTTATTAGTAACTAGGTTTGCATTCCACTCTTTATTTTTAGCATTTAAGTCCCCTATTAACATTACTTTGTCCCCTGTAGACATTAGGTTGTGCAAATCAATATGATTAAATTTATTTAGAGGTTTGTTGTAAGCCCCTACGTTATACCCCCTACTTTGATTATTGCATGCTCTATGCTTGAAAGCTAACGCTTCTCTGCCTCGTTTCTTTGTTCAGCCGTTCGGTAATGATTCTGTAAATCAGCTGCCAGGCAACTCAGCAACTATTTTTATTGGTAACGCTAACATCAGTGGTGTCGATTACATAATATCTTCTTATTTTAAAAATAAAATCACATCTTAAAAATTTAAAAGAGTGACTACTCAATTGTGTCTATACTCATTTAGTTAATAAGCAAATATATTGGCTTTATATATTTTAGCATAAATATGTCACAAATTTATTAAAAACTATTAATAACTATCCGCATTTTAAATTCACCATTAAATTTTATTCAATTCACTGATTTTTTTCTAATATTTTATTTGCCACCCCTCGTACATTGCAGAATCATAAATAACCATTTTGTTGGCCATACGTTAGCTTCCATCGAAACCGTTTACATTATTAATTTAAAAAAATAAATCTGGCCATTGTTTA